CACAGGTCGAATACATTACACCCCCGCGGGGCCGACACGCCTGAAATATGTAACCTAATAAAAGCATGCCTACTGATAGGAAGCAAGTACGTCAACAATGTTGACTCGTGATCCCAGGCTACTCGTATTTGTCTCGCCCGCCACAGTTCCAAATCAGGTAAGTTTTTGATGTCTGAGGAAGACTGGAAACTATATCTCCGCCGTATCGCGGCCCTAGCATGTCAACTGCCATGGGTCCCTGTAGACCACCTACTTTGCAATGGCTGTCACGGATCGCGAATTTTTGTTAATGCCGAAAAAGTGATTACCGTACTCCTCGTGTATCTTGACTTACATGCACAGACTGTTCATTTTTTGTTAGTACTGGACTTTTTGAATAAGTTGCTTTATTCGGAAGAAAAGGTGGGGGCGAACATTGCTTTCGAGAACCTCTCGTCAGGCCAGTACAGTTATATGGAACGGGGACAGTGAGTGAAAAAAATCGATAAAAGTTAGTTTTTAGAATACAGACTAGGCAAGAGCGGTAGGGCGCAGAAAGTTGTATATGGTTAGCCAACCTTTGACCAAGGTAAGCGCGGAGCCTGATCGAGGCTCTTATGGGCGCATAGGGTCGGTTTTCGTAACCTGATGGCGGCCGCTTCTGCTGTTGCTAACAAGCGCCGGGCCAGTAGCTTAGGGTAGCTCAAGAGGACCTTATAAATCACACGAAATGCTTCAGCGGGGTCCACACGATGCCCTGAATGCACTGCATGCGCAATGATGATGCTGTCTATTCTCCCAGTTCCACCTTTTGCCAGCCATGCGGGAAGGTGCTCTCGTATTCTTTTGGAAAGGCGCCGACTCGTACGACCAATATAACCTGCTCCACAGGAGCAAGTGAATGAGTAGATGCACATTGAGGCGGTCTGAGGTGGCAACCTATCCTTGCCTTCTCCGCGTAAAATAGGTTTAGTAGAGAATGATATGCGAGCCCTTGCTTCATATAGCTATGGGGATTTTTAAAACTCTAAAAAGTCGCCTTAATTAAGACAAGATGGGGATTCGGCACTGCTGTTTGGTGGCAGTCACGAGCGTCGTGTATCTGGCAGTTCGACCGTCGTGTCCGACGATGTCCACCTCGTGCTCCACAGCGAGGTTAAGCAGGAGCGGCGGCTGGCGTGGCCGGAACCGCACCTAGGCGTGCCACCACACCTTTCGTCGAGAAGAGAAATAGTTGACCAGGATTTTAACCAATAACAACACCACAACGAGCCAGTGAGAGGAAAATGACTGGGCAGTCGTGTTCACGACCTGTATACCCAGCGGGAGCGCAAGCACGTCTATCGGCAGGGAATCCGGTGTCAGGGAACTGCCGGCGCACAACAGGCTGTGAAGGCCGTGTTCAAGCTCTCGCTTATCAACCACGACGGACACTAGCCATCCTCTCGCAACCATTACCAGTTCAGTTAATGCGACAACAAAAGTCCGTTTAGGCATGAGGGGGTATGGGGCAATTTCACTCCCGACACACCATTCAACAATTGCAACAGAGGTCCTGTAGAGTGAGCACTTTGATCCAAGTTCCTAACTACCAGCTAGTTGGTTTTTTTCTCATTAGGAAGACAGGAAATACGACGCGAAGGGGTTAAGCGGTGATAAAAGCGTGTTTTCGGTCGTGAATACGCTGCCTTTGGCTCTAGTAGGCATTTCCCCACTGAGATCGGAAACAAATCACCTGGCAGCGACAACTGCACTGACGGCCACAACCATCGGCTCTCCTGGAAACAGGAGGCTGAGAGGTAAATAAGCTTTATGAGAGTGGGTGGTCCATTATTAACTGTCCGAAGACGATGTAGCGCTACCGGTGCATGATAACCGTGGGGTTTGCCGCCCCAGATAGCAGCGATTAGAGGGCAAATGACTGATTGCAAATCGCCTGTCTCACTGAAGAAGGGTGCATGCATCTCAGTGACTGACTCAAGTCAAACCCTCTGGTTAGTCCTTACAATCTAACCTTATCTTGAAGTGCGCTCTCAGGTCTACATTACAGCATTTTAAGGACTTAATTGGCTTTACTGTCGTCTAATAAACAAACATCGTGGTTTAAAAAAGAGAGAAATGTCCGATCTCACTTCGTATACGTACCTGAAGTATGCAAGTCCCAGCCTAAGCCTTAACTCTGACCTCTAACCCTTAACCCCAACCCCTAACCCCAGCCCTCAACCCTGACCCCTAATCCCAACCTTTTATCCTAACCTCTAGCCCATAACCCGTAACCCTAATCCCTGACTCTAACCCCTAACAGGCACGGCTACGAAATAAGGTCTTGCCGAGACGAAATTTTTTTGAGAGTATTCAGCGGCCGCGAGGAAGTCACTGTTAGGGTTATGTCTTTATAGGGGCATAAGTGCGGACCACTAGGCCGGACGCTCACGCCAGAGTCCTCAAAAAGGTTAGAGGCGTGACTCGTTGTTGAGAATTAGGCAACTCCGCAGCATACATCCAGAGAAGTTTCGCTATCCCTCCATGCCCATATGTTATTCTGGAGTGCCACCTCGACGTCTGAAGATTTCTCCGATGGTATTGATGAGTCAGTTGCCGGAAGTGGCAGCAATTATTCGCAAAGACACAGAAATAGGTAGCGTGTGTACTACCAGCGGCTTTAAAATAAATTGCAAAGCGCCTATGGACACAATTAGTTAGGCCAATCGTTAACTTTAAGTCACGAGTATAGCACGCCACTTTGACTGCAATAAAGGGGTACATATTCCTGTCTAGCTAGTTAGTAATTAGATAACGATAAGAACGACTTGGACCTCGAATTTGTGGAAAAGATGCAAGGGTCAAACTGAAAAGTCCCAGTTCAGTATGGCTCTGAGCGCCTAATCTCGCATAGAGGGCCGGGTGAGTAATACTACAGATTACCGGTGGGGCGAACTGGAGAATTCCAGTAGGCAGTACAAAAAAATAAATTGCTTGAAAAAGCGTGGAAAATATTAGGAAGATATCGAACTAAAAAGAGGAAAGGGGAAGAGGAGGGGGAGGAGGAGTGGGAGGAGGAGGAGGAAGAGGGGGAGGAGTAAGGAATCGAGGTAAACGTGAAACAGAAACCATGGATGGCAGAATAGTGTCCAAAAAACTAGTATTAGGGACGCGCAGTTACAGCCAGGTTGATTTGCAGAGGCATTAAAATCATTGTACCCGGACTCTGATCATGCCGTTTCTCTTCCAACTAATTTAATAAGAGAGTTCTCCACCAGTGATGGGCCCTTCCATACCAAGCTTAAACATTTCCAGGAGAATGCTAGGCTTACTGGGAATCAGACTGTACCAAAGAGCCTTTTTCGTCTCCGCAAAAACCCTATCCCCAAAAGTTGGAAGAGGCCCAGCCCACAACAGGGTGAAATTTAAACCCTAGGCAGGCTGTTAACTTTGTCAACAGTACACGGAAGTAAGTAAGGTAGAGAAGACGTACTCTGGCTGATTTTGGATACTTGAGCAGCTGTTTAATTACAAGCGCTGAGACGTGATGGTGATGTTTGGATTGGTCGAGGTTTGAATGCATCTAAATATTTATTCATGTCTGTGGTTCACGAAAAACGACCGACTTGTGCACCATAAGAATCTGACTTAGAAAGCCGACCCTGATGAAACATAAGCTCTAGAGCACTATTCTCCATAGTTCTGGCAAACTACATTCTCCGTTATCTCAGTATAAACGGCCGTCTGTCAGTATATCGAAAGAGCGCTAGCCTGAACACTTTTTGGAAAAGGTTGGTTTCGTCCGCGGAAAACGCGAGCTGTAGCAGACTGACGTTTTGGTGGAGAAAGTAAAAGCAATTAATTATTTAACCGTTAATTGGCGTTCAATTAAGGCGCCATTTCTCGCCACCCCCAGCGGCAAACCAGCACGAATACGCTTACCAGGACAAGCAGTCGTCCTTGGTGAGAAGGAAACCGCAAGTCGCGATGTTGGTAATCGACCAAAAAGAGTATTTATTTTGAAGAAAAAAGTCGGATTGCACAAAATTGGGGTTAAAAAACGCGAGTACTGCTTGATTACATAGAAATTCAAATTAAAGTGGGCGATTTTCGAACAGGGGTCTGGCCGGACAGTCGTTACCATTGGCAGCAGCAACAGTAACACAGCTTAATATTAGCAAGATGCATTTTCGGGCTATTTTTATGGATGAGAGCAGAAGAGCGACGAGAGGAATCGACAATGTCGTAGTCCTAGAAGTAGTCTGACTGGCATAGGTCATGCGGATAATAGTTGCAAGAACAAGCCGTTCGCCCAGTCAGATGTGTGTCTGTCTGTGTCCTCCTAGGATGTTTTGCCCAAACCGCGGGTGTTACGCCAGCCCAACATTTTGAAGAGATCCGGGCACCACGTCTACGCGTGTTTTTGACACGAGCGAAGACACCCGCGCACACACACAGACACACTCTGGAAAAAACACAAAACAATTGTGGGATCGGACTTTGCATACAGGATTCCGTATAGGCTAGTGCATTTTTGGGGAGGGGCTGTAGAGCGAGAGCCATAGCATTGAGATAAGTGGGTCCAACATTCGCTGGCATCCATACACCATATATATATATATATATATATGGGAGGAAGAGAGAAGGGAGAATGCGATACCCGGAAGCAGAAAGCGGAATTTATCGTCAGTGGCAGAGAGGAAAGGTGAGAATGAAAAGAGGCGGCGACTAGTGAAATGCCTGCGAAAAGCCTGCATTAAAGCAGGACGCACGATTCGAAATTGCTCCGCTTGTAGATTAGCGAAGTAGGTGAGTAGACTTGCCGGCGGGTGAGACCCTCAAAACAAAGCCCGCCAATCCAGCATCGGACAAATGGGATGCTGAAACTCATAACGACGACGACGGCGATGTTGGCGTTGATTTTGCGAAGAAAGCAGGGACGGTATTCCAAAAGAAATGTAGCTTTGGGGTGGTGGGTGAGGGTGACGGGGGGGAAACGTTGTAGACAGTATGCAGCACAGTGGTGGGCGCTGAGAATCCTAGGCTTCCGAGACGCAGACCTCCAACTCCTCCACGGCTGGATACTCCACGGAGAAGCGAAGGGTAAGCTCCTTGGACTCACCTTGGAGGAAAAGGCGCACTTTAGTCAACCAGAACGTTTTGAGAACGTAGTCAATAACTGAAAAATATTCAAAAATGCATTCTGTACTCGTTTCATCCGGGACACATGACGCATGAAGCTCGGCTTTTTGACAGTCCAGTTCCCTTCTCATTTACTTCCATGTATCTTCTTAAATCTCATTGTTGACTGCTCATTCCGCCGGACGATGAGGCAGATCACATGACCTATTCCCAAACCCCGATAGGCATTAAAAATTTGACGGGATGACGTTTTCAAGGCCGACCACAATAGGCGTTTATTCTGAACACTTGACATAGACAACTGCTCAAATTCGCTTCATGAAGAAGGTTTTGCAGCTAGAGAATCTTGAAATTATATGTAGTTATCCAATTCTCACGTGTGAATTGTCCACATTCTCTCAGGCAACTGAGTGATGTTAAAAAATGACCGGGCACGAGAATTTTTCTCTCTTTTTCTGTTAGAAAAGTCGGTCAGATGTGGTTATGTGGGCGCACCTGAGGTAAAAAAAAACCAGCCACCTGTAATACGGGACCGGTGCTAATGGAAGTATTCAAAGGTCGGGCCGGAGAGCGCACAGGCGACGAGGTTGAGTAATTGCATGCAAAAGAAAAGCTATTGGGAATGCGCGGTTGTACTTTGGGCGGTTGAGAGGTAGTTGCCCTAACCCCAACCACTGACTCTATCCCCAAACCCTAACCCTATGCCCTGACCCCTAAACCTAACTCCTAACCCTTAACGGCAGCTCCAAACCTTAACCCTGAAACATTCAACGCGAAATTTATAAGGAGACGCTAGGCCGAAATCCAAGAAGGACCACCGCCGTTTGGCCGAAAAATGTAGACACGTCAACGGAGAAACAAGCCCCTCCCCAACAGAACACCCACCGCAACGCACAGCAACACCATGCTAACGTAATCACACCAACTCAAAATAATTAAGTAGGTCGACAGTATTGTCTCCATCGGGTGTGGCTACATAAGCACATCTTACCAACTTGTCTACTGAACGATGTCTAAAAACATTCGCTCAAAAATCGGCAGTTCATTTGAGTGGTTGAAACGGCTAATAGTTGCCCCCCTACCTACGGATCAGCCCTTCGGACCACTTGCGACATGTTGACGTTGTTCTGAATTGTAGCATAATGCGAATGCAGTGATATGGTTAGAATTAATAAAAACAGCATACGAGGCTGTGCTGGCTCTGTGTTAAACTACAGCCTACATAAGAACACACGCAGGGCCTAGAGTGCAATGCGAGGTCTACTATGTCTCAAGGAGAGAATTTAAGTAGCGGAAGGACGGGGTCTCATCTGCCTTCCTTTCGTGCATGCCGTGACATTGCATTTCACTATTGCTGTTCCCACTACACAAATAACCCGCGGAGTCCGCCTATCACGGATCACAAGTAGTCTGGAGGACTCATTCAAGGTAGAGAGGGTAGGTATAAGTCGGTCCCAAATGACAAGCCTACCGTAGATGTAAAACTGCAGGTAACCCATGCAGCATAGGTAGGTGAACTCCAGCAGGCAGATTCTCAGACTAACCTGGATGAAGCTCAATGTCCCACTCGATGTTGTTATTCTTGTTCATCCTGATGGGCTTCGATCGATCATACTTCTCCGGATGCTTTATAGTAGGCTCTAAGAGGCTAACCTGCGAGGACAAAACGAAATTATGCTTGGTTACAAATCATTTTTACACAAGGCAAAACTGGTACATTTACCGTATTTGATGGGGGGCCAAGGTGTGTTCGGGTAGTAAGGACGAAACAGTGAGGTAGCTTCTGTTTAAGTGCACCCATGTGGTCCGCGAGTAAAGTGTCACAATCCCACTGATGTGTACTGGCAGACGATAAGGATAATGATCATACTTCTCCACGCGTGACAATTCGCGGTAGCGGATCTAGACAGCGCAAGCCATTCTCTCCTTCAGCAACGGATGGTGAATAACGCGGGGCCTGAAACCACTTCCATATCTTGAGGAACTCCGTCCAGTCAGGTTTTAAGTTGACCTCCGGCATCGGGTCGAGGGCAGCAACCTTGATCTCCTACGGCAGACGACTTAGAATGTGCTCAAACCACCTTAGTCATCTGTTTTTTAAATGGACTGAGATATGGCGGCGATTTTGTCACAGCGGCGAGTGCGGACAGCCTCATTTGAGGCAAAGTCGGTGCGTTTCGTTCGAAGGATGGCCCTCGGGCAGCAGTGGTCATGTACTTCCAGTTTTTATCAATCTTCTACGTGCACAGACCAGCATTCAAAACCGTAGAGAATGGCTGCTCGAACGGACGCACGGCACACGAGGGCCCTCGAGGCGATGGAGATGTCAAGTCGGATCTAAGACTTCAGAAGGCTCCTTGGGCGGCATCGCTTCGGGGACCACTGTCGTCATTGCTCTGCCTTGGGATATTTGAAACGGTTTGCCTCTTCAAATTGACAGCCACGAACCTCGAGTGTTGCCCTCTCCTACTCGGGGATGCAGCTTGAAAACATTGTGGTCTTCCCAGCGTTTATGGGTAAACTGGCGGATATCGCGACTCCATTCACCCGTGACAAAATATACCGAAAATCACGAAAGTTTGATGCTATCAAGACGACATCCTCAGCGCGGTCGAAATCAGTCAGCCAGCATCCGGGTACAACCTCAACACGGTCAAAACCAACTGGATCCCTCCGAGGATCCAGTTGGTGGTGCAGCTGAACTCCTTGGCAGGAAGCACTTTTTCGGGGCCTAAGTTCGAATTTGAGAGTTTGCCATTAATTTCCTGTTCACTGATAACTGCTTTGCATCAAAATTCCAGAAGCAGAATGGAACCTAGGGCCCGTTATCGGTGCTAACTTATACTTAACGAATAGCAAGACGTTATGAGGACTGGCAGCCCGAAGTTCATCCTTCCTTCCAGCGCACTCGGAAAACTCAATTCGTACTAAACTAAATTCCCTGACAGGCTGGGCATTTAGAAAATGTAAGGGCTCATTCAAAAACTGCGATCATTAAGTCGTCCAATATACCAGACAGGCGGATCGACAAGGATCGATTGAAGCCAGAAAGCACAAATGACACACATATCGGTAAGCAAGAAACCAAGGCCATTTTACAGTGTACAACCAACCAGTACAGCAGGTTGACCAAAGTGGGTGATGGAAAGTCAGTTGACGCGTTCTACATATCGTGTGCATAAATATTTGTCTTGTTGCTTTATTTGCAACAACAGGATATCTTCAAAAAGCACTCTTTCCCTATGGACAGGTGATTCCGGGTGCTAATTACTGCCACAGAATGGGCCAACGTGGTTTTGCGGGGGCGGGCATTAATAAACACCTGAACATGGATACGTAGGACCTCCGCGTAGATTGACATCGATTTTTCTGTTTAGCGGACGTGCTGCGAACAAAATTTAGTTTACGTAGGGCAAAAAAGCTAAGAAAAATGTCTTTGACTAAAAACTTAACAGCTTCGTACTTTAATCTTGTCCTCCCCACTGGCAGGCAGTTGATCCACAACTGTCACTTTGACCGGACGCTGGAAGGTGTTGTGAACATCAATAATCTGCTTGAATGTGACAGATGCCTTTTGGCTGCTACCAGAGCCGACCTCCTTCGCCTTGAACATTGGCCGGTAGATGACCTCAATGCCTGACTCCGCGCCCAGATTGCAACTGAAATCCTCTCCCGGCGCGACTGAATGCAGGTCAGACTAAAAAGTTGTGAAAAAAACGTCAGTTAAGAGCACATTGGGAGGCCAAAGTCTCGCGACAGTGTGAGCGCTTTAAATTAACAGCCTGCAACGTCCGGCAGGTAATCGCTATTCCTATAACACATAGCGAGCTTCATTCGGGAGACTGCGAATAGAAGAGAAGGAGTTGCGTTTTTCGCGTTGTTTAAGACGGCGCTTGACGAGGTTTAAAGTTCCCATTTATTTAAAAATCTGTTTCCCAGATGAATATCAGCGCCCTGCTTTATGCTCTGGCTAAAAGAGCCTAACGTACTCACTCCCTACATTCTTCTGAGTCTGCCTGCAGCAGGTCAGAAAACCTAGGTAGCGGTTCTAGTCGTCTCCGGGCGTCTAAACACTCAGATGAATTCCCCCTCCCCGTAGAGCTGAACGAGTGTTCTTTTTTCGTAAAGAGGATCTTGCGGAAACACGTCTTCTTATAATTCAAATCAGAATTCGTAAGCTATTTCCGGTATCTGGAGGGAACTTTGCTTTTTGTCATTCAAGTCATAATTCGCAAGCTAAGTCCGGCCGCCAATTACTCGAGGTCGCAGTCCTGTTCTTTGTTTGCGGACCCTGTAGGTTCCGTCCACGCATCGTTGCGTCTTTATGCTTAAAAACGGCAGACACGGCCATCGCATTCATTTTCAAAACAGCCGGCAGCTGTGAGAGCTGGCGACTTCGTGGTGGGAACCACTGAATACGCACGGAAGTAAATACAGATAAGGCAGTTTGCAGAATACGACTTCGTCTACAATAGGTGTGCTAACCCATGAAATGTTAACCGAAAGCCTGAAATGTGTGGTTGTTTCAAAAAGATTACTTAATAATCATGAAGCATAATTCTACAATAATTCAATTACCCAAAGATGCTGGCTTTCGAACAAACCTCTTTCCGGCCACATGCAAAGACCACACTGTGAAAACATGGCTACTTAAGTAGCATGAAATTGTCCCGTTAATTTTTCATGCGCTTAAAAATTCAATTATATTTCATGGTGAAAATGAATAAGTATTCACTCTCATACTCACTCGGTAGAAGTTACGCCGTCTTCCGATTTTAAACTCGAAGGAATGATGTAATTCGGTTTTATAGAAGTTTCTAATTATGGGATGTTTTACTAGCGTGAAATGCCCGTTCATAAAACATCGAGCCTCTACATTTACTAGTGTCGCTTGTCAAGGTTACAATATGGCTCAAATCCACTACTAAAGTGAACAGACCCCATATGGTCTCCTCTTAATACCGTAGAGAAATATATGGTTTTCCGTACGCAGAAAGTATATGGTTTGTAGTTTTTTAACCCTGGATGCGAGAGTAACGACAGGTCAGATTTAACATGATTCGGGAATTGGAAAAGTTTTCAAAACCGAATTATACCCTTTCCCGGAGTATAACGTTGGAAGAACGCGCATTTTTTAACCAAATGAACAAAAGAATAAATATCTTCATACACGTCTTCCACGAAAAATAATCGAATTTTTAAAGCTATCGAAAATCAATGAGAAAAATCCCCGTTATGTATGCAGTCATTTTTTACATTGCGTGCTTTTTGCATTCGGCCGTAGAAAAAGCTCTTTGAAAGGCCGGCATGAAATATAATTGAATTATTAAGGACATCAACTGCATGCTACGTGAGCAGTCAGTTTTCCCGAGTGTGGTTTTTGGAGGCGGCCGAAAACGTGTTTGTTCGAAGGCCTGCATCTTGAGGTAACTGAATTATTTTTTTAATTATTTTGCATGATGATTAGTTTTAAAACACTACTTAAGTAATCTTTTCGAAACGAAAACGCATTTCAGACTTTCGGTTGAAATTTCATGAGTCAAAACACCTACTGTACTCAGAACACCTCTGCGACCAATTTTTCCTGTTTCGTACAGCGAGACAGTAAATTTGTTTTAGTTCTCAGTCTGTCAGCTGCATACAGTTTATTCGCTTCAGGTTTCATCCGGCTAACTAACAAAGGTAGGGGGTGGGAATTTAGCGCGCGACCACCTCTTTCAGGGGGGGGGGAGTCCGCATTCGGCGTCTAATTCAAAAAAATCTAGACTCAGAAAGTCTTCCAGATGGAAGAAGGCCCCCCATGAAGCACTGCTCTTAGGAAAGGACAGCGCCAGACTGTTTCTTTTGTTATTTTGAATCACGGATACACCCAGCCCGCTCACCTTGCCAATAAAAGTGTTGTCCGAGTATATATTTGTCGGCCCGGGCAGAATGTAGAAATTGCTCGTGTTCTTGGCGTTGGCCTTCAAGAAGGTGGAGAGCGAGCGTTTGGGCACTGTAACGTAGTCGTACTGCGGTTGAATGTCCAGCAGACCGACGGTAACACGGACCTCCTCGTTGCTGCACGGCACAATCGCCGGTGGTCGCGGCACCTCAAATAGCACGGTTGCCACCGGCGGTTGCTGTGGTGGCACCGAGGCAACAGCCTGCGAGGGGTTCACGTCAGAGGCCGTGTTCAGCAGGAGACTGGTGCCGAGACCTTGGCGTGAAGCAGCGCGACTCATGGAGCTTCCACGAACACGTTGGCTGGCCTGTCCGTCTGTGGTGCTCATGGCACGTTGCAGAGTGCTCATTGGGGTGGCGATGGGCCGGGGAGACTGTTCAAGAGAATAAGAATCGGGCGTTGAGTTCAGGTGCATCTGCTTACATAGTTCAGCATATTTGAGGAGAATGGGCAGGAGTGTTGATGACTTAACCTACGACGAGCATAGGTAATTCTAATTTCTGTAAAGTCCTACTGCACTGTGATCGCTTCGATTTTTGAAAACGAACAGAGCGTTGAGAAAAGCAAGCTGCGACTGAGAAAAAAGGAGGCACGATCCTTGAGACAAAAATTTTATTCGCAACCACTTCTACTCCCTCTCAACCTAGTCCTGGGGCTCGCAGTCAGTATTGATTTAATTCTTCCAATTGTGCATCCATGTTTTACCTCGAAAAAGGCATTGTCGCTCTATATATATGTACAGTATTTCGAAGTAAAGTTCTGGATCCCGGAAGATCCTCTGGAGCAGGATTAAGGAATAACTAATAGCACAGAGTTGCTATGAACTATTTAATTTTCAGGCATCAGTATAACTAAATCGACTCTCTGCTACTCGCACGTATGTTAAGATATCGGGGTCAGACCTGACGTTTCCACTTCAGACGACCCATTGACTTGTGAATTCCCGTGTCGCGATTATTGTGCAATTGTGTTTGTGGACTTTTAATACGATATTCGTATGGCTAGGCTCGTGCGCTTTTTCCTGTACTCCCAAAAATTACTTATGAGGTGCTAGAAACTTTGGGATTTCAAACGGACATTATAACCTGCTTAAGCTAGTAATTGCAGCTCTGTTCGAAAAAGTGCTGGATAAACTGTATTAAAGCTGAGGAGCACAAAAGCCGGATCGGCGAGACAGGGTCGCGACCACATTCGGAGGCAAAGTCAGATAAAGCACCAGGTAAAAGTACTTGTAAATAGGCTATGTAGGATTGGTAAGTCGCATTTGTTGCGCAATCATATGCCTAGAAGAAAATTAATTTGCGCCCAAATTCATCGTAGATGACGGGACTTGGTGCAGTAATTGCAGTTCATCAAGAAGCGCAATGACCTCTCTTCTCGATATTCAGTGATGAGACGGCGTAGAGAACGGGGGCGGATGATGCTTTCGGTGATTATGTGATGGACGGTCCACTTGTCGAGTCATCATCATGCCAATAATCAACACTAATGGTGAAATTGTGGTGGTCAGTGATATGGATGAGAATGATCAAGTTGTTATGGCGTTTAGTGCGAATATCTTCGATAAATCCCAGGGCTGCTAGTTATGTTTGGCATGTGATGGCGTGGGAACTGCATCCTACGCGTTGTGCAGCTTTGTGCATCCACTACTCTTAACTATTTATGTCTCTGCTGTTGAATGTGACTGCGGGAGTTGGAAATTGGAATTTACGTTTGCACTCAGACCGAAGGCAGCCACAAGGCGCCAAGTCATGAGACCGAAAGACCCACTGCGATTGCAGGAAACGTCTGGGGCCGTTTACCGCATCCGGTGCGGTTGCGGGCAAAGCAACTTTGTCCAAGAAGACTACATTGGACACGGATGTCCGAGCACGCGACAACAACGAGGAAGAACGACGCCAGCTCCCAAGTCATGACTCATTCAACAGGACCTTGGCACATGCTTAATCCTGACGGACCAAAATGCACACGAGAGGTGACAAATGGCGTGGGCCGTGAACTGCTTGATGCATTGTTTTCACGTCTCCGGTCGATTAACGAGCCCAATTATCCTTATCGTCTCCATATTCTGCGCTGAAATTTAGCATGGGCAGAGTAATTAACCACGACGAGGGTGCAAACGAGCACTGTTCCTAGTGCCAGTGTCGGCGTGCCAAATGGTCCGAGGACCTAAGGGAGGCTGCTGAAAATGAAAACATTATAGCACCAAGCGCAACCATCTGCGATGGTTGAGGGAACCGCCAATTTTGATAGGTATGCGGTGGCACAGCAACCACGTTCACCAGCCGCTGTGACATATGTGCAAAACACTACCATTATCTGATTCTGTCCCTGATGGCAGATTCTAGTGTGATTTCGAAACGGCAGGCAAAAAACTCATGCTCCAGCCATCGCGCCTCGCCGTTCCCAATGGTTTTCTGGAACTCGCGACTTCGCATCTATCGGCATTTGGGGCATTGTGCGGCAACGATATTTGTTTCAGGATCTAAACATTGACTAAAACAGACTAGATTCCCCATTTCTCATGAAAGTTAGGCATACGCAAAACATGATTTCGGCCATTGATTGCACTGCCCTGGTCAACGCCAGATGTTGCTTCATTCAACCTGCTGCCCGAATAGCACTCACATCTTCCAGGCCGTCAACACACACGAAAATTGACCAGCTGGCGAAAAAGTGGCTCTAACCGACTCCCAGCGCCCGTTCAGGCATGCAGGAGGGGGGGGGTTGCTGCGATCATGGAGGAAGCCGAGGGCAATAATTTTGCCGTTAATCTTCAATAACACAGCGTCCTACAAGTATAACAAACCTGCCAGGGGAAGATTGCCCTTCCGATTGCGAAATGACTTTCCAGCACTGAGCGCCTGTTGCAACTGTAGGCGCGCAGCGCCTACAGTTGCACAGTCAATAACGGTCATTATTCTAATGCCAGCAGTCGCCAGCACTGACCCGGCTAGCTCGGAGGGCTCCTTTTCGTCCGGTTATTAAAACCCCCTACAGGCGCGGAGAAGGTGAACTCGCCTGCGCCCACTGGGTGCGAACGTGTTTAGCAGGGGGTGGGGGAGGCGGGCGATGAGTCACGTCTGGCAGTAATTATGAGGTTGATGCACAGCAGCGAACCAAATCAAAGAGTCGCTCTGCAGACGTAGACAGCACATCATTAAATCCTTGTCTCATAACTGTCACAGAATCCCTCACTGGTACGCTGCTGCTGCTGCTGCTGCTGCTGCTGCTGCTGATGCTGCTGCTGCTTCTGCTGCTGCTGCTGCTGCTGCTGCTGCTGCTGCTGCTGCTGCTGCTGCTGCTGCTGCTGCTGCTGCTGCTGCTTCAGATCTACCGGCCGCTGATGATGGGAAACCGAAATTGCTCTTTGAAGGATCCGACAGGCAAGACGAAAGTAAGGCTTTCCACCAAACCGGTTTTGATGCCAGCCAGACTCCAATGATATGGGACGGGGACTAGCGGATGCTGCGGTTCTAGTCGTAGCAAGCGCAAAACGGAGGAGATGTGATCTCGTAAACTTAAAGAAGTAGAAGTGGAGCTGGGAGCGATCTCAACTTCGGCCAACCGAAAGGGGTTAACCCTTACGCCTGTACATCAACCAGGCTAACAGCTAACCAGTGGTCTTCCAAACATCCGAGGGAAGCATACAGAACCATTGGGGATTAGTTTCGATTGCTACTCGCTGCAGTTTTATCGCGATGACATTAGGTAACTGATTCGTTATTGTAAACGATAACTGATTATTCAGGCCCTGTAACATCAGAGTAAACACAAGTTCAAGGAGGTTACGAGTTCAACTTCGCAGCCGTCACGCCAAGAAGCAAGACAGGCCGAAAACTGATCAAAACCTGGGCCTCTGATGAGAACTCAGATGGGCAGATATATCGATCTGGCGCCGGTATACAGAGCCCTGCGCAGTCGCCTTTTGACCTGCGGCACTGGTCGTTAATTCACTAGTGATTTCCTACAACCGTCACTTGCTCAGTTTCTGTTGTCATCTCTGGCGATAAACCTCCGTACGAGTTCTAAGGCATCGACAAAGGAGCAAATAGTTCCTTGCTCACGAACTGGTGCATCGTTTACCGCTCCCGCTACTGCGGTTAGCAGACGAGCTACCCCCGTTTGTTCACCGCTTACAGGAATGCAGCGGCAATATGCAGACTCCAAGAACACTGCAATGATGTCCGGCGAAACCTCTGTTGGCGAGTTATGGCCGGTAAGATGGTACTCAGTGAAGCGCGAATCAAAGGTCACGCCCCCCCCCCGCCCCTCAGCCAGTCGGCCATTAGGCGGCATCACGTGCAAGAGGTCATATTCACACAGGGGTCATAAAAGTGACACGTAATCAGTCATTTCGCGCGTCTGAGTGAGTAATCCTCGGCTAAAGCCGCCCTACATGCACCGCAAAGTTCAGCGGTTCATATGCGGTCCATCCGACTACGGCACAAAAAGCCGTGAGAAAGGCTCGACACAAACACGCATATATTTGGAAGCATGTCCACTTTGCAACTCCGCGTAATGCGGCATGAGTATAGCGTGCTGGCGAAAGTGTGTAGGGACGCCATTTAGTTGCTTTCACACTCGAAAACAAAATTATTCTCAGCCACTATCGGTCCGGTTTCCTACTGGGACCCTTTTGATAAGCGGATGGAAACCGTCTCTCGGAAGATGGCCAGTAAAACACAAGTTATGAGGCCGGTGCAGTAAATATTTCCTACTCCTAAACTCGACTTTTTAGCGACGAGATAAACAAAGCCTACTGGTCTATCTTTTGCGTCCGTAGTCACTTTTTTCCGACTGCAGCGAACCGTATTTGAAGAGGGCGACTTCAGGAGAACTCTACGTATTGGGATTTTGCAGACAACGAGTTCGTGGACCAGTGGTTGGATTACTTAAAGCCCAGTGACCAACACGGTCCCGACACGAATTCCTCGTCATCCAGATTTTGGGTTGGGTATGACTGGGCGACAGCGGTTAGTAAGCCAGAAATAGCCATTCCATTTTCCTTCATCTCTACATATGCTACTGTCCGTTATGCGACTGCCTTCAACTGTTTTAGATTCAGCCCCGGGGACTAGCAAATCCTGTAACCTGACCGGTGCGCGCCCTTCTACCTCGGCTAGGGTGTTGGCCAAGGTTCAGTGCAGGGCTGTGTGTCACCCTTCTGGGCCTTAAGGTTTGTGAGCGTCTGTAATGCCATTATTCAGCAAACCCTGGCTTTCGCAGCCTGGTGTGCGCTGGAGCACCTGGTTTCCTGTCGGTGAACGAGCTTGCCCTCCCGCTGAGTATACATGTCGTTAGCATGGCTGTCCAGGTGTGTTGCTGTTGATAAAAATCCTGGTCAAGTGTCTGTTGTGGACCAAGCGGCGAGGTGGTGCACCTAGGTGCGGGTCCGACCATGTCAACCACCTG